GCTGGCATTATGAATGAATAACAAACATACCTCCACTTGCTTGTCTTTTTTGTTGTTGGTTTAACTTTGGGCTGTAGCATAAACAGTTACAGTTACTGTGGTCATTTTATTATGTATGAAATATCACTATTCAAATGTTAAGAAAATTCACAGAAATTCAGAATCACTGAGTTTGATATAAAATAGGAATAAAATCACATAAGAATGAGATCATAAAGTTCATAAATGTATGTAGAACTTGATTTACAAAGGCCTGTTGGAAGCTGAAGTTGTGATTCGTGTACAAATGTATTGATGTATATAATATGTTAAATCAAAGGCGTGTGATTACAAAATACACCATGATCTGCCACATTACTCACATTTTCTTAGCCTTTATTAAATAGACAGTCAGACCACAAATGCCTGCAACTGCCACTAAAACCCCAATGACAATCCCAGCTATCGCCCCTGATGACAGCCCTCCTCCTCCTCCTCCTCCTTCTATGGAAAAGATACAAGAATCAAAAGACCAAGGCCATTTACTACACACAATACTAACAGTAATACACTTTAACATGTATTTAAACAAATTAAAAAAAATACATATATAATTTAAAACAACACAAGGCAATTACATAAAGCAGAGAAAACAGTAGATATTTTAATATACCTTTTTAAAAACAAAGTTTCTTTGAACAAGTGGTAAATTAAGGTCAGAGTATTGATTATCAAAACTTGGGAACTCATTTCAGATTAGTTTGAACTATTCTTACCTTTAACTAGTAAAGTATGTTGTTGTGTGGCGCTTCTCTTTGTGACATTATTCCAGGCTGTGCAGATGTAATCTCCACTGTGTGTGAAGTCAGTATAATCTATGGTGAATGTGTCTGTGGTCACATCAGTGTCTGTTTCATTAATCTTCCAGCTGAATGAGGCAGCAGGTTCAGAATTTGCAGAGCAAGAGAGCGACACGCGAACACCTAAATCCACCACATCCTCACCCTTAATAGAAACATCTTCTGGTCCATCTAGAGCACAGACAAGAGACTCACTGTTAGATGAGCAAACTGAGCACTGAAGAATGTCTTTATTTCATCAGGTTTGAGCTCAAATCATCTTGATGTCTGAATGTTTAACACTCACAGTTGATGATCAGGCTGAGTGTTGCCGTCTCAGAGATGGCAGGGTTTCTGTATGTACATTGATATTCTCCACTGTCTGATCTCTGCACTGGACTGATGGACACTGATCTGTTATCAGATGAGAAGATGATGCTGTTGCTAGGAGACAGAGGACTGTTATCTTTCATCCACTGCACAGAGGTGATGCTGCCAGTTCCCACAGAGCTGATGTTAGCAGATGATTCTCCCTCTATTAATAATTCTTCTGGACCAATAAGTCTGACATTAGTTATATTTTCTGTATGAGTGAGAAAGAACAAACACACTAGATTTAAAATTAGTCTTTCACATTTAGTGACCATTTCACAATTTCACATTTAGTGTGGTCAAGGGTGTTACAGAAGGCCAATCAACAATGAAAGGAATGTTTATGTTTGTATATGTGCGCCCTATAGACTGTTTATCTTTAGTTCAGTGTCTATTTATATCGTCATAGTTTGTAGCATGTAATTTATATTTTTAATGGATTTTCATAGCTGATAGAAGACTGAAAATCTGGGTCTCAGACAAGAGTAAAACAACAAAAATCTATGGTCTAAAAGTTATTTCAAAATAAATGATCAAGCAAAACAAATTGTCAAGTTTCAATGTGATTTCCATGTAATAACATTTTTCATGAGAGTGCCCTAACAACACTCATCTGTGCACATCTGGTTCAGTAAAAATAAACCACAAAGCTCACTGCAAATAACAGCAGACTTGTGCATATCTAAAATATTATTATTATACTCTCATTAGTATTTCAGCTTGTCACTATTGCCATTTTTACACATTATTTAATTTAATTTAATTTACAGCATATTAAATTGCTTTGTCGCTTTTTCCCCTTCCACACATTAAATTCATTTCATATACTCATATATTAACCCTATGTAGCCGATGCTTTAATTTTAAATACAGAAGTTTAAGCAAAACACTCACCAAACACTTGTAGTGAAGTTTCTCCTGTAAGTGTCTCTCCAGCACTAGTTTCTACAGTTAGTCTATATATTCCAGAATCATCCAGTCTCAGGTCCCAGAGCTCCAGAGCG